ATAGTAATAATAATACACATAAAACGAATTTCATTGATTAAAATGTACTAAACATGGTAATTCGCCGACCCCCGTTTGCCGGTGGTGAGAAGGCGTGTCAAATGATGGGCTGTCCCCCTCCACATTTCCCCCTCTCCCAGGGTCCAACATCACGTTTAAAAAGGGGGGAGGGGAGGGGCATCTGGGCTCGCATGCGCACTCCGAGAGGTTCTGGAGCGTCCAGATCTGCCGCCAGTGGCCTCAAAGACGAGAGCAGGGGGAGCAGGAGGACTAGGAGGAGGAGCAGGAGGAGCAAGAGGAGCAGGAGGAGCAGGAGGAGGAGCAAGCGGAGCAAGAGGAGCAGGAGGAGGAGCAAGAGGAGCTGCAGGAGCAGGAGCAAGAGCAAGATCTGGCGGGGGCACCGCTGGCGCTCGCTCCTCCCAGCCTGCGCCTCGGCTCTGGGCCTGGCGTGGCCACGGCCACGGCGGCGGGCAGCGAGTACGTCTCGCGGGCCGCGCGGGAGATGCTGCCGGGGGCCAGCGCGGATCCCTGCGCCTGGTTGGGTGGCTCCGTCCGCTGCTGGTGCCGCGATCGGCCTCAGCCCCCTTTCGCACCTGTCGGGTGCTTTCCGCGCTGCCGGTTCCGCGACCGCGAAGAAAGAGAGGGGGAGGGGGGGCGGGAGGCAAGGGTTAGGTTGGGCAGTTCCTCCTACAGGCGAACGCTGGAAGAAAAAATGAAAATAGTCAACAGGTAATGAAGAAATCAAAAGAGCAAGAAAATCGTCACCAGACTATGTTTTACTATTATTGAACATGCCTCCTGTAGAGGGACATGCCCGACTTACGGCGAGGGGCAAGGGGGGCAGAGGCGGGAGGAGAGGAGAAGGCGGAGAGGCGCGGAGCACGTTTGAGAAGTCGCCGACGATCCACAGCACCACTTGCTCCTCTCTCTGCCCTGCAGGCTCCCAAGGAATCGTACAGCCCTCCTCAGGTCCGGCCTTTTCTTCCTCCCTTGCCTCCCTCCCCCTCCCCCCCCTCCTCACGTGTCCTCCCTCCCCCTCCCCTCCCCCCCCTTCTCCTCCTCCACCTCCTCCTCATGTTCGCTAGTCACACATTCCTGATGCTCGCCTTGACCACATGCGCACCTCGACCATGCGAACTGGGTCCTCCACAAAGGTGAATCGCCCACAGGGCCGGGCCTCCTCGGCAGGCCCTGCGCGCACGGTGCGCCGCACGAGGCGCCCTGCCCAGCCGTGTCTTCCCTCGCCGCCGACGACCGCGTTCACAGCCCCAACGACGCAGACTGCATCTGCGTCTGCGCCCCCACCGGCAACCAACAGACCCTTCCTCGGAGCAGGAGAAAAAACACCCGTACCGCCACCATTCCCACGTTTCCGCCTTTCTGAGCCTCCTGGGAGGCCCTCGTCATCACAGCTGGATTCCCCTCGACATTCTGGTCAAAACGCACCCCAGGAGAGGTCCAGGGAGTAGCGGTATCGACACCCGTTGGTTTCCCCACCTTCCAACCCGGCCACTGCCGCAGAGTGAGTCTGGTGGGGCGGCCGATGGGTACTGCCGTCTGGAGCGGCGCTAGGTCGGGGGCGTCCGAAAGCTGTCTGGTGGCAAGCCCTGCACAACGAGTCAGCTGACGGCAGGGGTGCGTGTGCTGGTGGTGTGCTCCTGGACCTCTGGAAGGCCTATGAGGTGGTCTCGCTGGCGGTCGCTCCGAGGCGCGCTGAGGCAGAGGGCTACCCCCTAGTCCTCACGGCCTCGGCGCTCAGCATCTACGAGGGCCCAAAGAGGATCGTCCTCGACGGCATCGTCTCTGAGGCCTTCCACCTGGTGACGGGCCTGGTGGCGGGATGCGGGCACGCTGGACGCCTGCTCCGCTGCTGCATGGCCGTCGTCGACACAGAGCACCGCAGGATGTACAAGGAGGTGTCCCTGGCCATCATGTTCGACGAATGCTCCCTGCGCAAGACGGGCTCTGAGGCCGAGGTCGGTATCTTGCTGGACCAGCCGGCGGGAGCAGTCGTCAGGAGCCTCGAGAGGGACCTGGGCGCAGTGGTCTCGAGGGACAGGATGAGATCCTCGGCAGCTCCGACAGGCTCCGCCGCATCATCGAATTCAACATGAGCGTAGGCTCCTTCGCGCACGCCAAGGAGGCCAGGAACCTCGGGGTGGACTATGCCATGGGCGGGAAAGCCTCCACCGTGGCCTGCTCGAGAATGCTCACGGGCAGCGCCCAGGCTGACCGCGTCCTACATGTGCGACGGTCGTCCAAAGCTGCGGGGGCAAAACCCATCATCTCAGGCCTGAAGCCCGTCACGACCTACGGCATCTCGTGCATGGCTTGGTCCACCAAAGCGCTGCTGCGCTGGCAGTCGCGGCTCGCGGCGATCGCGTTCGGCACGGGTGCGGGCAGGAGCATCGCCCTCAGCTACCTGGTGTCCGAGAGGCCATGTGACGACCCCCTACACGACCACATCGCGAAGCCCATCGTCGCATGGGCCAAGGGGCTGCAGCTGGCGCTGGGTGCTGACGGGCGGGCCCTCGGCTCCGCCTTCGCGGCGGCCCACGGCCGCCTGGCCTCAGCGGGGGCCGAGGGCCTGGTGGGGAGGGGCCCCGCCGCGGCCACGGTCCTCGCCGCCCTACGCCTAGGCGCTGGACCGACGACCTTCAGCGTCCCATCCACCTGGGGGACATCGACAAGCACGCCCTCGGACGTGAGGTCCAGGCCGCCTTCATCAAGAAGCTCTGGAGGGGCACCGCCAGCCGCGACCCCATGCTGAACCACTTGGCGTGGGGCGCCGCCGTGGGGGGCCTGCGCCGCCGACTCTGCAGGGCGCAGGGCAGCCCAGACTGGACGGCGCGCCGGTCCTCGGCCAGGAACGCCGTCGTCGGCTGCCTCTGGCCTGTGCAGCGGCGTGCCGAGGCCTCCCCGCTGCTGGCGAGCTCAGGTCGCTGCCCTGCGGGCTGCGAGGCGAAGGGGACCCTCAGACATCTGGCTTGGGCCTGCCCCGCGCTGGAGGGCGCGCGCAGGCAGTGAAGGTCGATGACCCGAACCTCGACCACTTCCTGAGCTCTGGAGGCCCTCACGATGCTGATGACGAGCATGCCCTGTGGTCGAGGTACCTGGTCAAGGACCCGAGGTGCGACCACCCCCCGCCGCTGGCCGTGCGCATGGTCCGCACCGCTGGGCCAAGAGCTGGTGAGCCCCTGCACGGCGAGGTGTTCTTGGACGGCTCCGCCTACAGAATCCAGGACCACATCATGGCGCGCGCGGGCTGGGCAGCCTGCGCCACCGACCCCACGGGCGCCGAACTCTCCAACATCTTCGGCCCAATGCCGTGGCCCTGGCCCGAGGAGTCGGGAGCGGGCGAGCTGCTGGCCGCGGCCGAGGCGCTGGCGCACGCTTTGCCCCCAGTTCATGTGTTCGGTGACTCGCAGCTCCTGGTCGACGGCTGGGAGGCAAGCGAAGAATGGTGCACAAAATGGAACAGACCGTACCGTGAAATATGGCAGCTTTTCTGGCGTCGTGCGGGTGACGTCGGCTGTGAGCATATCCAGATAACCAAAGTGAAAGGCCACGCTTCGTCATCAATCTCTGCCAGCGTCAAGGAAACAATTGTGCAGATGCCCGTGCAAAAGAATGCGTGAGCTGTGAGCTGTTACCCGTTTGCCCCGCGCTCGCTGAAGCTGCCACTATCGCTGATGAGCGGGGGATGAGCTTGGGTCGGTGGGTGGGGGTGGCGGCGCAGGAGGGAGACAATTGGCTCAGGGCCGAAGACGGGTTCAACCCACCTGGCCTGGCCGCGATCAGATGCACGGTGCCATATTGCAAGCAGAGGAGCCTCTCGTCGTGCGACGCACGTGCTGCCAGGCCAAGGCCTCGACATGGCTCAACCATCATTTCAGATTCGGGAGTTGTTTCCTGGAGTTGCCTCGCCTGCTCCTCCCGAGGGACCCCGATCCCCGCCTGCGCTAGCCCGCCGACCTCTGGAGGGGAGGGTCAGGCGGGGAGGCCAAGCTTCGCCATCGCGGCGCTGGTGGCAGGAGCTGCCGCCGCGGCCGCGAGCGGGGGAGAGGGGGCCAGGAGAGAGGAAGAACAGCATCTTGTGCAGCAGCAGCAGGCCCTAGAGGGCGGCGGCAGCAGCAGCAGCAGGGGACCTCCAGGGGGGGCAACCTAGCTCGGCAGTCAGGCTCTGGGAAGAGTTGCCCCCCTGGTGGCATCTGCGTTTCGACCTTTCGCATGCGCTGTGCCGTGCGGGGGGGGTCTGTTCGAGGTGCGGGGCCCACACGTCGTCCCCTCGAGCGAAGGGCCTCGTCGAGCCGTAACTCGGCCACCCCCCTCGGTTCGAGTCAAGGAGTGTTTGAAGAGAATGAAGAGAGGGCTCCACCCCTCAAAAGGTGGAGCCCAAGCCGAGCTCGGCCCGCCTCGCCCTCTCCGCGACCGCTCGCGTTCGCCTGGCCGAGGCACCCCGAGGTAATGAAGTGTAGCGGTGGGCGACTGCGTTTCGGCGGCCACCCTCCTTGGGAGAGCGGGACCATCACCATCACAATCATCATCATCATCATCATCATCATCATCATCATCATCATCATCATCATCATCATCATCATCATCATCATCATCATCATCATCATCGTCGTCATCATCATCACCATCATCATCAGCATCGTCACCAGCACCACCAGTATCACCACAACCATCATGATCATCATCACCACCATCATCAGCATCAACCTCATCAGGATCATCATCATCATCAGCATCATCATCATCAGCATCATCTTCATCAACAGTAACAACACCTGCAACAGCAACGACGACAACAACGCCAGCGACGACGACGACAGCATCAAGTACAACAACTACAACAACAGCAGAAACAATAGCATGAACATGAACACTTTGATGGCGATGATGATACGAATCATCATCACCATCAAAATCAGCATCACCATCAGCATCACCATCATCAGCATCATGATCATCATCACCGTCGTCAGAATAAGCACCATCACAATCATCATCATTATCCTCATCGTCAGCATCAGCATCATCATCACTCATCAACATCATTGCCCGCGTCATTGTCGTCGTCGACGTCGACACCCCGTGATCATCATCATCGGCATCATCATCAGAATCAGCATCATCATCATCACAAACAACATCATCAGCATCATCGTCATCATCAACAACATCGTCATCACTCTCATCATCAGAAGCACCATGATGATGATGATCATCATCATCAACATCACCATCATCAATATCATCACAATCATACTCATCATCATCACCACCACCATCATCAGCAATAGCATCATCAGTTAAGTATCCTCACCATCACCATTATCATCATCGTTGTCGTCAGCATCATCATCACCACCAGCATCCGTATCATCATCACCATCACCATCACCATCATCATCTTTATCTTCATGATCCTCATCATCGCCATCACCATCACCGTTGTCATCCTCACCATCATCATCATTATCATCATCACCATCACCACCATCACCACCACCATAATCGTCATCATCACTCTTCATCATCATCCTCATCAGCAGCATCATCATTATCACATTCACCATCACCATCACCATCATTATCATCGTCATCATCAGCATCATCTTCTTCATCAGCAGCAGCAGCAGCATCATCATCATCATCATCATCATCATCATCATCATCATCATCATCATCATCATCATCATCATCATCATCATCATCATCATCATCATCATCATCATCATCATCATCATCATCATCATCATCATCATCATCATCATCATCATCATCATCATCATCATCATCATCATCATCATCATCATCATCACATCATCATCATCATCATCATCATCATCATCATCATCATCATCATCATCATCATCATCATCATCATCGGTGGCCACTTGACTCAAGCTGCTGAGCGCCGGGACGTGACGTGAGCGACTTGATGTCCGAGAAAAGCTGATCCTCGACTGTGACAACGGTGCTAGCACTCGGGCCACTCAGGGGGGCCTGAAGATTACCGCCCTCACCCTGGGAAAGATTTCCGCTCGGCGGGGGCAGTCACGAATGACTGTGATGGTGTCAGACCGTATGGCCTGAGAGAAGAACGAGATGGAAAACCTCGGGGTCGCGCTGACCCAGGTCAGCATTAGCCCGTAAGACGAAACCAGGACCAGGGAACAATGGACCAGCACAAATCGGGGATCTCTGAGATTTGGCGGTTCTGGAGGATCCAGAGCGCTCCAGATTGTTTTGAGAGCATTGAGTTCCTCAACGCTGTGCAACGATTCATCCCTGTCCTAACCCCGCCCGACCCAGGCCAGCGCTAATCAGGGTCAGCCAGGGCCACGTTGGGAACCTGGGTCGGCCACGACGTAGCTCCCAAACCAGGGTCAGCGGAAGGAGAGGACGACTGCGATGCCGACCACGAGGAGCAGCAGGAGGACGAGAAGGAAGAGCAGGAGGGGCAGGTGGGGAGGGAGGAAGACGAGGAGGAGGAGGAGCAGGAGGAGGAGCAGGAGGAGGAGCAGGAGGAGGAGCAGGAGGAGGAAGGGCAGGAGGAGGAGGAGCAGGAGGAGGAGGAGGGGCGAGGGGAGGTCGGCACCACGTTGCTCCCAAACCCCGAGCCGCGCCTTGGAGTGCTGCGCCGGCATGGAGGGCTGGTCGTCGCCCTGCTGCAGCATCGCCGCCGCGTTGCCGTAGTACTCCCGCAAGACGCTGAGGGCCTCTAGCCGGCGGATCTCGGGGAGGGAGGGATGCGTCAGAGGGGCGAGGCGTCGACGGGTGCGGGAGACGAAGGGGGGATCGGGGGCGTCAAAGGGGGGGACGTCCTGTCGTGCACCTAGGCACAAGCTAGGTCTGAAAGGGCGTCGTTCTGAGGTTCCTGGTGGGAAACCTTTGACTGTAAGGGCGGGCCTCCGAAGCCATCGCGGCTCCCTTCGCACAGTGCCCTCCCCCCACGCGCACGCGGAGGCGGGCCCACCTCGGGCCCAGGAGGGGCTTAGGAGGGAGCGAGAACGCACGGAGGAGGAGAGGGGGGAGGAATAGGAGGCTGCTCCCCAGCTCGGGCTGATTGTCTACGAGTCCGTGCCTCAGGGGAAGAGGTCGTGCCCCAACCGAGCGCCCCATCGGCAGCGGAGTCGCTCACATGGACCTGACAGTCTAAAGCGTCGCGAAGTCGGACTCGCAGTCGGACTCGACAACACTTCGTGTTCGTCGCGCGCCATTGCGCCGCATCCAGCGGGTATGAAGATCGCCCCAAACTTCTGGCTAAATTGAGCGAGCAGCACAAGGATTCGAAGTTGGCGAGCCACTAGGAGCTCAGGTTCTCAGAGCGTGAAGCACAGTACGAGACACACCGCGGTTGAGCACGACCCCGAGTCAGGCCGCCGAATTCGACGAAGAAACATCAGATGGGAAGAGTGCAGGAAAGAAACGCTCGAAGTGAATTTATACGCGGCCCGTTGCGGCGGCATCATGGCGGGACGACTCTCTGAGAGTGGTGTATGCATTCGCGGAATGCGCAAGACGGCGCCAACTGACGCACGAGTCGAAAACAACAACGGCCTTGCGTCGGCAGCGAGCGCAAGCGAGAACAGGATAGAACGCAAACGCATAGAGGGCCAAGCGTTCAACCACAGTCAGAATGGAAGGACTTGAACTCTGTCTCCTCCTCCGCAGCGTTGTAACAACTGCTGGCTGGTGATGAACGACCAGGGAGCGCCAACGCGAATGGTCATCCATGGCAAGAAGGCACACCGTCTAATTAATATGTTGCGGCGCGGATTTGATCACAGACAAACTGCACATCGGTGCGCAGCGCAATCCACAAAGACAGCGCTCGAAAAGAGCCCGAAATAGTTTGAGACATCCGGGCGAAATTCCACAAGAAATCTGATGAACTGTTCGGCTCATTTTGTCTCCGTGCTGTTACTTTAGAACCCAACAATTTTCCCCCACGCAAGATCCAAAACGTAATTTACGCGCGCTGTTCTTCAGATACTACATAGAACCCAACCAGACGGCCAAACAGGCCCTCAGGAGGGCCTTAAGAGGGGCCCAAGAGAGGCCCAAGAGTGGAAACTCGCAGGAACCCAGAGAGACCCCCCCCCTACAAGATAGCCCCCAACAGCCCCAACATGCCCCCAAGAGGTCCCCCAATGGTCCAAAGACACACCAGGGCCCATGAAACGGCTGGAAGAGGCCGCGCCCAGGTCTCCGAGAGGCCCCCAAGAAGACCCTGCAACAAAAGCGGAGGAAGAGCAGGAGGGATCAGCAACAACTGCACGCAGGCAGCACGGCGGGAAGCGGCGCAAACAACACTCATGACGTCGGAAGCCGCGCACATCTGCTCCTTCTGGGGACACTAGAACAACGCGAGCCTTTTGGGTAAGCACCCCCTCCACTACTCGACTGGCCCCCCAGCTTCACGGATGGCGGGCGGGTCGTTTTCAAAATATGGCTCTCGCTTGAGCGCCACGCAGATTCGTCGTAAGAAGCTGCAAGAGCTTCACGGATGGAGGGCGAGTGGGTTTCAAAATGCGGCGCCGGGCACACTCGTCTTCCAATGTGTCAGAAGCTCAACGGATGGAGGGAACTTGGAGGGAGGGCTTATTGCAGATGGGTCTCGGGTTTACACGGTCCTCCACCTCCTCTTTCTTACCGCGCGAACGGAGACGATGTTGGGCTCACAACCCTCCACAATTCAGAGCACTCGCTGAACTGCCGCGGGGCACGAACTCGACCACCTTCCCACCGCGCGGACAAAGACGAGGTCGAGTTCACGACCCGTCCTTCTCAGACCACTCGTCGGAGATGCGCTGTTCCTACCCTCAGCCTCCCTCTCTGCTGCGCTGTTGCACAGGCACGGTGGCGGGGTTTGCCGCAGGCACCTGGATCAAACAATAGAAGAGAGCCCAATTTTGAGGCCAGCGCTGCTCGCAATACGCCGTGTTCGAAATGTTGCCCGAAGTGGGGAATGGACATACTGCCTGGTATGCCTGTCACGTGCACTGAAGGAGGGAAAACAAGCGTGCTTCGCTGGTACACTGACTTGCGTAGCCAAATATTCGGAGCTTGGTTAGCGTACTTCGCTGCTTCCATGGTAGAACCCGTTTCCGAAACCTCAGTCCCAGAACTCCCAAGGAACCTGCGTGATGTTTTGGCGCTCGCGTTTTGAGGTTGGGCGTGTGTTGTTAAGATGTTTAGTGCAGTGATGCGCTGGCGCAAGTGCCGCCGCCCGGCGCACTCGGCGCGCATCACGCACCTTCCGCGGCATTCTTGGCGCATCTGGCGAGAAAGGCGCGCCTGGACAGCTTAGCACCAAAAAAAACCCAGGATGCCTAACAAAAAGTCTGAAGAGGCCGCCCACGAGGCATCCAAGAACACCCCAAAAAAACCCGCAGCAATCGCGGAGGAAGAGCAAGACATGCAACAACAACTACGCGCAAGCAACACGACGGGAAGCGGAAAACAACATACGAAATCGGAAACCGCACGTGTCCTCTTCTGGGGGACGGCGGAATGGCGTAGGGCGTAGGGCGGGCCAGGCGCTTCGCTTAAGACTTCCTCACAATGTATCACCCTCCCCCTCCTCCTCCTCGTCCTCCTCCTCCTCCTCGTCCTCCTTTTCCTCCTCCTCGTCCTCCTCCTCCTCCTCCTCCTCCTCCTCTTCCTGCTCCTCCTCCTCCCCCCCCCCACCCTCTCAAGATCCTAGGACTGAGCTGGATTGAAACGCGAAATCGGATCGGATCGCCAGCGAATCGCCCCGAATCGAATGAGATCGGATCGCCGCGCCCCGCTCTGGCTGGCCATGGCCGATGCCCGTGAACCGAGCCGAACCGAATCGAGCCAGAGTCGCGGCCTTGGCGAGAGAATACAATCGCGTCGAAACGGATCGCAAACGGCCCCACCAGCAGGCCTTCCGCACGCCCTCGAGGCCCTGCTCCAGGTCCGCCTTCGCCTTCAGGTAGTCCGCGTGGGTCTCCCTCCGGACCTGCTGGCTCACGGGCGGCGGCGCCGGCAGCGGCGCCGCCGCCGCCGCGCCGCGCACAGAAATTGCCGACGGCGACGGCGGGGGCGCCGCCCTACCCGGAGAAGAGGAAGGGGGAGGGGGAATAGGAGCGAAAAGGAAAGAGGGAGGGAAGGGAGGGATGGGAAGGGGCCGCAAACGTCGCAAACAAGCGGGCCAAAGTGCCGGCAATCTGGCAGGCGTTGCGCGGTGGCGATGACAATGGTTCGACCTCGCCACCTGCTTCTGTTGCTTGGTTCGCCTCTGCCCTCTCCTTCTCTCAGGAGGAGGAGGAGGAGGAGGAGGAGGAGGAGGAGGAGGAGGAGGAGGAGGAGGAGGAAAAGGAGCAGGACCAGTGCGTGCGTATTGGGATACGACCGAAGAGTCGATGTACACGTGCGTCCGCAGGTAAAGGTGAGAGAGGAAGAGGTTCGCCATTATTTTTCCCAGGGCGCTGCGCGGAGAGCACCGCGGTACGTGTACCAATTACTGAGCCGATACGGATACGTAAACGGTATGCAATGATAGAATGGGGATCTGAACGGAATTCACACATGCCCCGCCCCGAGTCCCGCCTGCCCCACGCTGGCCCCGGGCCCGCGGGAGACACAGGCGGGGTTCAGGAACAGGGGCGCGATATCCACTCACAAAACCCTCATATCAACCGCACCTCCAAACGAGGTCGCATCGTCTAGGAAGGAAAGAAGGGGACGAGCCCCGCCACACAGGGTACATAGGGGGGCTTACCCGCCCTTAGCGGGCCCAGGGCGCACCCCCAAAAAACGCTTCGGCATTCCTGGGCGACTCCCCGTCACCACGGGTGACAAAGCTGGGAGAGCGAGGGAGAGAAGAGCAAATGGATCACACTACTGGATGCTACGATGCAGGTGACTCCACCGGCACACAATGACGAGCGCGCCAAATAACGTAAATCGAAATACGATGGATCAGAGTTGCGACGACAAATCGATCAAGGCAAAAAGAAATCTCTTTCACGGGGCACTCCAGGCCCAGAATTATTCTCGGGGCGCTCCAGGCCCAAATTCACCTGATATTGCGATCGAAATTGCGATGACAACTGACCGACTAGATGGCGTAACATGCATAGTGCGAGGCGCTCCAAGGCCTCAAAAAGTATACGACGATTGCCAAAAATGTCAATACATGCGATGTCGACGTCAAAGTATAGTCATTGAGATAATGCTGCGCATAGGTCGTACTCAGACGCCTTCCCATGAAAAGTATACGGAACCATTCGATGAGAGCGTTGGCGGGCGACCTGCCGGGGCGCATTTATGCCCTGAACGCCATGCGAGTAAACGATGCAATATCAATGTACAAAAACAGAACGAACATACTGACATGACACGTGGGATAAAATCTCCTAAACAATACCGTACCAACGCCAGAATACAGCATGCACGCCATGGAGAAATATTACACACAAAAAAATCGGAAGCATGAACTTCAAATCAACTTAACATAGATCGGCTAGAGCGCGCGGGACCCAAAATCTTTCTTACGGCCGTCAAACTGACCAACGGCGTGAGTAGCCATATTAGCCGGCCAAATACCTGCACAATTTTTCTCATCGATCAAGATCCACTTGTTCAGATAGTGCGACCAGCAGCGGCATGCGTTGTCCCTGTAGCGCTCGGGGCCCGCAACCCCGCCGCCCACGTCTGCGCCGCCAGGGGCAGGGCCGCCGGAGGACGCCGCGCCCGAGGAGGAGGAGACAGCACCCGCGGCGGGCCCATCGCGGCGCGGCGGCGGAGGAGAGGGCGAAGGGGTAGAGCGGAGGGCGGTGACCGGAACAATCCCCTCGCCGAAGGCTTCACCCCCCGTTCGCGGTCGCAGCAGCGCGACGCCTCGTTCTGAGCTGCGCCAAAGTCACACGGTACTGGCCCGTTTCGCCGATTCGGAGGCTGCCTGGGCCGGCGTCTCAATCCACTCGCAGGTGCCCCCGCCGGCGCTCGAATCGCGACCGAGATCGCGGAAGGCCTGATCAGGAATCGCGCGAGCGCAGTCGGTGGCCAGATCGGCGGAAAGAAAATCGCACTCCTTATCGGTCGTCTGATCGGGGAGATCGCCCGTCATGATGTCTCTGCGAGATAGGCGTGCTGAAGCAGTACCAGGGTGCTCGGCCGCGATCTGCTCGGTCTGCTCCACGAGGGCGCTCTCCTCCGCAGCCCTCTCGTCCTCCTGCGGGCTATCGTCGCCGCCATCGCGGAGCGCTTCGACGATTTGCGCCCGGGTGGGGGCGGCAGCTGATGCGGAGTTTCCCGGGCCAGACTCGGGCCATGAGTCGAAGGGTCCTTCGGCGTCAATGTCTGCAGATGGGCGCGGAGGATGATTGGCGTCAATCGCGGAGATAGATGCGCCAGGTCGCCGCGCGTGCCCTGGGCCGTCGCCCGGCCGATCCTGCCACAACGGGAATGTTGACTGACGATGCCCCTGGAGCGACACATCGCCCGCGATTGAATTAGCCCACAGCGTTCGCACTGCGCAGACTCTCGAACAATTAGAGCCCCACTTTCAATGGCGCGAAGGATCTTTGACAACGCACGCGCGGAATCGGACGGAGGGACCGAGAGAGGGAGAACGAAGGCAGGCGACATCAGTGACAGGCCTGGCAGTCTTAGCGGCCTCTATTGCCCATTCGGTCTGCGGGCTGCGAGCGGCGCAAGGCACGGGGCCAATGGGCGGCCGCGGTCGGCAAGGCAGCGCCGCGTCGCGAGGCGGCGGCGCAGACGCGCGTGCGCCCACCAGCGCTAAGTCATCATATTTCAGATAGAACGCACGGGGGGCGCAGATGCAGGCGCGCCCGCCGGCGCAATGGCATCTCCCACGCAACACTTACGCATGCGAAGGCACGAAGCACCATCTCCATCTCGTCGCACTCGTCGCGGGCGTCGCGACGCTTGCGGCGCGGAGCACAACTGCAGCGATAAAATCCGTTCAAGATTGTCGCAGTCGAATTCTAGGGCGCGGTTCCTGACAGGAACCCCGCGCCATAGACCGCGTGGGCCCCGCAATAAGCAACCCATTTGAGGACCCCAGATTCGTCGGAAGCCGTCGTCTTGCACCAGTTGCCCTACAGATAGCACCGATGGGCAGCCACCCAGTGCAAGGGATGGGCTGGGTAAATCCTGTCACCGCTGGCCGTTCCCAACATGTTCGCGCCCTCGGCGCGCGTCGGCGGCCCCTTGCCGCGCGAGGTCGGCCTCGTTCTGGGCGCGGTGAGCGGAGCCGCTCTCCAAGATCCACGCCCGTGACAACGCTGCAGTGGACCGCGTCGACGCGGCTGCGTCGACGCAGTGCCCGGCGTCGGGCGGCGGGAGAGGGCCGGGCCACCATCGGGCGGCGGGTTCGGGCGGGGCGGCAAGGCAATTGCGCCACTTCTGCGCCGAGAACCGGCAGACCCGGAGCGCGTCGGCGCTGTCCTGCAGCCGCCTGTCCGGCAACTTGTCGGGCGCGGCAACGGGGCCACCCTTGCTGGCTTCGGAGTGCAATTTGGCCAGTTGTCGCCTGGGCACCGCGTTGGTGGTGACGTCGATGTTGTCGAGGTCGAAACGCAGGCGCCGCGGTTCTGGGTCTGGGATCACGCACGCTCGGCCCCGCCGTCGAAAGCATCGCGTCGAAGGAAGGGATCCAAGCCTGCAGCGCGTCATAGGTGACCGTTCGCTGCCGCCGCTGCCGCTGCAGCCGCCGCCGCGCGAACGTCCTCGACTGCGCCCGAGACTGCCGCCCCGCGAAGGAGAGCGGAATTGCCGCGGGCGCCGCGCCTTCCATCGCATATCCATCGGAACCTGGCCAGTGCACCTGCGACCCCCATGGGCTCCGCGAGCCCCGACACCCCTCGCGCGAGGAGCGTCGATTGCCCGCCGCGCGCCCGGAGGGCGACGCCCAGTCGTGGTCGCCCTGACTGCAGGCGCTGCCAGGGCCCCCCCTGGGGGCCCCCATGTCAGACGCGACGCGGGCGGAGCGGCAGCTGTTGCACAGCTTGCACGGCTCGCCTGGGTCGGCAAAGAAACTGCACTTTTCAACGCAGGGCCATATGCGCTGGCCCCGTCGCGAGCAGGTGCCATGTTTTGCTGGGGGGGGACAGAAGTTCCTGGCACCTCCGTCTGTGGGCGGCCGTTGTGCGCCTCGCCCCGTGGAGGGCCGTCTCGGGCGGGGGTTCGCGTCGGTCTGCGACGCGCGCCCGCGAGGTCGCGGCGCGGGGCGGTTGCCGGGGCCAGCGCGCAGCAGCGTGCACCGTTTGCCGTTTTTGCAACGACCTGCCTTGCATGCTGCGCGCACGGCCACCTCGTGGCGAGCTGCCTTGCCATTGCGGTTGCGCCGTTTACCCTCGAGCCGGCACATCTCAACGTTGGCCAGAACACGCTCTCGCAGCAAATCACATGAGCGATTGGGGTCGCCCATCTTCATCTTGTCCAGCTGCGCATGTCTTGCTTCATCCATGGGCGTCTGCGGATTCGAGCTCGGAACAAGAACTCGAGTATCTTCTTGTCCGGTGGGTCACGGCACTCCAAGAGTAAATTGTCCCAATCCACAATGAACCGTTGGAGGTCGTCGCCCCGCGCGCGACTACGTTGTGGACGCTCAAAGTCGCGCATCGCGTCGTCGACGCCAATGACCTTGTAGCGTTGCGGCAAAGCCCAAAAGATCTGTCTACCTTCCAACCTGATGGCGGCTTGATGCTGTAGAGCGTTGAAGTTTTTCGTTACGCAACGGAGTCCAGCATTGAAAACGGTCGGGCTTACAATCGATGCCCTCGAAATCTCCACTGTTTTGTAAGTCCACAAATGTAGTCTCAGGTTGTTCGGCAACGCAGAAGAATGTGCGCGCCTTGGCAGGGCGCCCGGAAGCGCTGCCACAATTTGCCCGGACCATTCGTTGTCACTGCTGTAACTGAGTAGCGCGTGGCAGCTGAGGAATACGCACAGTATCTGATTCCTGGATATGGGCGGTGCCACCATGCA